TTTTAACAAGCAATTGAAACCAAATTTCTAAGACAAATGAAGCATTATATACGATACATCTAGACATTTAATTTGGTCCCCATAGAAATTTCAAGCACAATGATAACAACAATTTTCTTCAAATGTAAAAAAAAAAAAAAAGTTAGAAAAATTAAAAATGGTTTTAAAAAATACTATGGTTTCTTGAAAATTTTCCCAGCAGCAACAGCAGCATCAATAACATCAGTGATTACTCTAACAACAGTAGTAATTGAACATGTATTTTCTTTGAATGTTGGAGATCCTGATTTTGTGAACTTAGCTACACAACTCAAGAAGTTCTCATTGCACTCCAAATTTAGATAATTATCTGTCAAATAAAAAATAACAAAAATAGCTAAGAACAATGAATCCAGAATTTAGAATCAATAAGTTTGTAATGAATAAATACTCGCTAGTATATACATATACACACACATATATATAGTCTATGTTTAAATTTATGTAATGTAGTTTGACTTGACACAGAGTTTAAGAAAGAAAAATGTTTATGTAGCTATAAATATTTCATTAAAGGTAAAGTTGGGATTTTAAAGTTAAATGGTTATTAAATATAAAAATGTGTCATTGTTTTTTTAGACTAACTAAACAAGAAAGTGAATCATATAAATTGGGACAAAAAAGTACTCTGTCCGTCCACTTTAAATTGTCATAGTTTCCTTTTTTAGAGTCAAACTATAAAAACTTTGACTTACATTTTACGATGTATTTTTTTATCATATTGACATGCAAAAACATTGCAAGTTATAATATTTTTCTTATAGTTTTTTAATATCTAAGTTTTTGCTTAAAATATCAAATTAATGTTATCTAATTTAACTTTCAAAATTAGCCAAATTAACTTTCGAAAAACATACATGACAATTAAAAATGGGCGAAGAGAGACTTTTTTTTTTGGGTAATTATATCTTTCTGGACCATCCTAAAAAATAATAATCGACATATGTATTTGCTTTGTATATTAAGAATAATAAATATACATTATCAGCATACACATTTTGTATCATAATGTAAACGCCTTTTTTTTAATTATATATATTTACATAGTTGGAGCCAAAAAATAATTAAAGTAAGATTCATTTATGCCAACAAACTATCACTAAAAATTATTTTTAAACCCTACTTGTGGATATGAAACAAGTTTAATAATTAAAGTAACATAGCATCTAAATAATATCCACTACTAAAAAAACATACAATTACCTCTAAAATATATCGATAATTCCTAGTTAATTCATCGTTAAATAGTTTTTAGCTAGTTAAATTTTCATATAATTCATCGCTAATTTATAAATAAATAAGATTAGCATGAAATTTTTACTGTTTAGCTATGAAATTTTATCACTCGCTAACTTGAATTTTGGCCAATCAAAGCTTCTCCATAATTTGAGTATGATAAACACCAACTTTGATGTGTCAACACATGCATTATTGACTACAACTATCTCCCATAATTCAAATATATTATTTTCTCTAGTTAGGTGTCTTGCAAAGCAACTTCCTCAGTAAAACCTTCTTTGTTACTTGTCACTCATTAATTTATTACTCCTCTGTCTCAATTTACGTGATACTTTTCGGATTTTGAAATTCAAAAAAATTATTTTTTATCGTAAAACTTTTATATATCTTTTAAATACTTTAAATTGTCAATTATTGTGATTTATAGTACTTTTACGTAGTTTACAAATCTATAAATTTCATTTTTAAAAACTTGAAAGATTTCATATGCAAATTTCCGATCAAACTTAAATTGTTTGACTCTCAAAAAATGAAAAATACCACATAAATTGAGGTAGAGGGAGTATTTTTACGAATTCACATAAATTGAGGTAGAGGGAGTATTTTTACGAATTGGACAAGTGAAGTTTTAGAATATATCTAGACATCTACGAAAAAATAAAGTAGAATTTAACTTTTATTTATTGGGGGTTGTAAGAAGATGTTTACATAATTAAGTCAATTAAAAATAAATGCAATTTATATTATAAAATATATTTTATTAATAAATTTCACAGGTAATATCCCACATAAATTATGTTATCTTCGACACCTCATCTTCACCCTTTCCCCTACAACTCTCAACCCCACCGCCCCACACCTCCAGCCCCACCTCGCTTGATATTTGTGTCACATTCTATACAAATATCTTTTAATTTAATTACGAATATAAAATTAAAAAAAAAACTCACTTATTTTTTTAAAAGATATTTTTCTCTAGAAAACATTTTCCATCATGCATGCTGAACACTCCTTATTTATCAACCCTTAACGCCATATCGTTAAAATTGAACTCCATATATAAGGGAAATGTGAATAATGCTTTTGTATTTTTACCATCATTATAAAATTGAGAACTCTTAAAGTAAATAACTTACTGTCTTTGTGTTGTATACATAGATCATGTTTCATACAACAAGCATCAAGTCCATCACATGGTTGTTCCCCTGGACATCCACTATACATAATTCCACAATACTTGCCATATCTTAGGAATGGAGGAACTGCAACAAAATCATTTTTAAAAATTTATTAAATATATAGAAATTATATAATTAAAAGTAGAAGTAGTTTTTAAATATAGAAAAAGAGTGTACCTGCACAAAACTTTGATTCACATGTTCTACTGCATTTTTTTCCTAAAAAAAAGAAAGAATTAAAATAGAAAAAGAAAAAGAAAACAAAAAAAAATTGATTAGGGTAAGGTTTGTGAATAATTAAGATGAAATTGGTATAATGGGATAGATAACAATATTCCTTTACTTTCAACCAGAATTTTCAAGTTCAAGCCCTGTTTTAAAAATATCTATTAATTTGGGTCCATCCCTACCTTACATATAAGGGTACTAATTAGCCCATTAGTTTGTACCCCTCCGGTCCTAAATCTTAGCCTACAATGTATAAAAATAATCATTATTGGTGTTAGAAGAACGAGAATTTTCCACATTAGTTGACGGTTAGGATTATACAATAGAGAAAAACACTATGCATCACCTTCTTAAAGGATATCTAGGCTATATATGGACAAAAGAAATTCATTTGCTTTGTAAGAATTTTCTACGATCGCTGACACGAATCGTGGTTATTGTAAATCCACTCAATGGATTAGGGTAGCCTCATTTTGCCTTACCAACCTTAGGGAAACTCCAAATACATGCCTAGATCGTTTGTACATACAGATCTTAGGTGCTAAGATCCAAAGACAAGAGGGAAACAATCCAGATCGTACGCTAAGGTCCTAAGAAAATTACTTAGTGGAAAAAGAAGTGATCGGGCGATGACAACCAGGAGGTGGGCTTGAAAGCAGCCGCTATGGAGAAGCACGTAATTAAGTTTCCTAAGTATTATTTTACAATTGAAGTACTACACTAAAGAATGGAAAAATACGAAGCTTCTCTACTCTAATGAGCAAATATATCACACAAATTTGAATTAGTCGAATTACTGAATTTGGAATATCATGAATATCAGTGGTGGAATCAGAATTTGCACTAAAAAAATTCAAAATATGAAGAAGTAAAACACACGAAAAAATTGATAAAGGTTCAACATCATAATATTCGTATGTATAAACAATATAATATCCGTTTATCCTACCTAGCTCCGCCTCCGAACATGATTATAGAAAAGCATGAGATGAGAGAGATATAGAAAGAAAAGTTTACCAAGGAGAGGCCAGCATTAGTTTCAACACCAAATTAAGTGCATGAATTTTGAAATTGGAGAATTAATTAAATTGGTGAAAATTGCTATGATGCAAAATACAAGAAAGTGTAGAGATAATTTCAATGACTGAAAAGAAGAAGCCATTGAACTAAGCACAGAGAAAGAGAAAAAAAAAGCACTGAATTATAAGACAAAGTTTTTTTTATTTAATTTAATAGAAAGGCTCTGATTTATAGGGAAAATGGTTGGTGACAAAACAAAAAAAATGTGTATAGAAACTGAAGCCTTTCTGGCTGAGTAGATGAGATGAAATTTGTCTTGTAACGTCTCGTGACATGTTTTTGGCACTATTTGGGCATGATATAAACACTATCAATTTTTATTTTATTTTTTAACAGTGAGAAGGATGTGAACCTCAATTATTTGATTCAATATTTACTAGGAGGATATTTTAAAAATATACGGTCCAGTATAAAATATTACGCTATGTAAAATATTCTTACGTAATTCAATATAATAGAGGAAGAGGTTAATTTGAATTATTTCTAATAAGTTAAGTACATTTTTTACTCAATAGATGAAAGGATGGGCGAATTTGATCCAATAGATAGAAGGGGAATAACTTTTAGATCATTTCTAATACATTAAAGGATATTTGTATAACTTTTTCCATTTAAATTATATCCTTCCTTTGTACAAAAAGTTACTATAGACATTGAAATTTTGCGAGAGTCTACCAGACGTGTTCAATTTTAGTTAAGACTTTTGGAGACTACTCATCAATCCTAAACCTTAGTTCATGTTTATATAGAGACTATTATATTCACTTGAAATGGTATCTCGAATATCCCATAAATTTTTGGATATTCACAAAGAGATCATAAAGATAGCTAATATTGTCTTTCTCAAAGGCATCTCGAATATCCCATTAGCTCTTGGGTATTCTAAAGATCAATATCTTGAATATCTCATAACTCTTTGGATATTAGCTATCAAGTTCAAGAATTCAAGCACTCAAGCATTCAAGTTGAAGAACGACTCAAGATCAAGAGCACCAGATTCAAGAACAAGCTCAAAAGCCCTTGAATTTAAGTACAACTCAAGATCAAATTCAAGTTCATCAAGATTATATTCAAGGTAAAACGCCGCGGATTTCTCTACAAGCTACAAATTCAAGAATTCAAACACTCAAAAATTCAAGTTCAAGAACGACTCAAGATCAAGACCACCAGATTCAAGAACAAGCTCAAAAGCCCTTGAACTTAAGTAAGTACAAGTCAAGATCAAATTCAAGTTCATCAAGAATATATTCAAGATCAAGCTAGAAGGCCCTTGAATTCAAGTACAAGTCAAGATCAAGTTCATGAAGATTATATTCAATATTACCTCAGAGGTCCTTGAATCCAAATACAAGTCAAGAACAAGTTGAAGATTCAAGAACAAGTTCAAGAGCCCTTGATTTATATTTGAAAAAATGAACCAAAGGATTCATCGAGATTGTAAACACTCATATTTTGAATAAAATATCACTACAATCATAGTGTTTGATTTCAAAATATGAGCATTACAATCTCTATGAATCTTCTGGTTCGTCTTTTCGAATATAAATTCAAGAGATCTTGACCTGTTAAATCTTGAACTTGTTCTTGACTTGTACTTGGATTTAAGGGCCTTCAAGCTTGATCTTGAATATAATCTTAATAAACTTGATCTTGACTTGTACTTGAATTCAAGGGTCTTCGAGCTTGATCTTGAATATAAAATCTTGATGAATTTAAACTTGAATTTAGGGCTTTTGAGCTTGTTGTTGAATTTGGTGGTCTTGATCTTGAGTCATTCTTGAACTTGAATGTTTGAGTGCTTGAATTCATGAACTTGTAGCTTGTAAAGAAATTTGCGGTATTTGATCCACAAACTCTCTCTAACTTCTTGTTAGAATTCTGGCCTTTTCATGACCTCTTTGTGAATACCCACGAGTTATGGGATACTTGATAGATATTGATTTTGATAAATATCCAAGAGCTTATGGGATATTTGAGATTGCTTTTTGAGAAAGACAAAATACAATATTCGATGTCTTTATGATCTCTTTCTGAATACCTAAGAATTTATGGGATATTCAAGATTTATTTGAGGAAAAACTAAGAATTTATGGGATATTCAAGATTTATTTGAGAAAAACTAAGAATTTATGGGATATTCAAGATTTATTTGAGAAAAACTAAGAATTTATGGGTTATTCAAGATTTATTTGAGAAAGACAATATTTGATGTCTTCGTGATCTCTTTGTGAATATCCAAGAATTTATGGAATATTTGAGATGCCTCCCTAAGAGAATATAGAATAATCTTTATATACACATGAACTAGAGTTTATGATTGAGTAGTCTCCCAGAATCTTAACTGAAATTGAATACGTCTTGTAGAGTCCCAACTGAAATTGGACACATCGTGTAGAGTCCAATAAAATTTTGATGTCTACAAATGTCTCCTACTTCAAGTCCCATCAAATTTCGATGTCTACTGTTACAAAATTATACTCCCTCTGTCCAACAATACTTGTCCACTATTGACTTTGCACACTTCTTAAGGAACTATAAATAGAATGGTAATTTTACTATATCACACTTTGAATATAATAAGCATAATGTCTTGAAAAAATGTAATTGGGAAATGACTATAATTAATGATAAGGGTAAATTAGGAACTAAGTATAAAATTATCCATTGATTTCATAAAATGGACAAATATTATCGGACATCCCAAAATAGTATAATGGATAACTATTATTAGACGGATGGAATATTCAACAACGTGGTTAAAATTTACTACCACATTCTAGTGACTTGTGAAGTATAAATGTATCTCGAAATCGAGAAATTTCACATTCTTTTTTTTCTTCTTTCAATTTTGATATTGCGCTTGTAAACAAGCTCCCAAATAAGTGGATTTTTGGACTAGGGGTTAGGTATTAATCTTGTAATTCACTAATCAAAGCAATAAGAGTAATTAGTTTTTAAAAAATAGAGTAACTAATTATACTAAATGCTACTTATTGTTTTTGAATGTCAAATATTTTAAAATAAATTAATTTAGTTTGATAAAAAGACTTATATTTGGGGCAGCACAGATTTTAAAATGTAAATATTATAATTTATTTGATTGAACTTCTAATATCGATTTACTTTAAAACAAAAAACTCAAACTATACTTTTGATGAGCATCAATTTTACTTGACTACTAATCAATTTTTAAAAGTATCTTTGAATTGCAATTAGTATTTGATCAAAAAAATATTTTTGATTGCATTTTATATGATTTTTTATTTATTTTTCACTCAGTGTTAGATATCTGTATTGAAGTTGACTAATCTAAATTCATGTCAAATTAGATCCTATTCAAAGATAGCGCTCAAAAAAACCTCTTATTAAGAAAGGAGGGTGGTGAATTGATCTTTACTCTCCCACAATCATCTATTTACATAAATTAACGAAACATTATCCTAATTTGACGGATATTTGTATATACCAAATAGCTTCTAAATTCTAATTAAATATAAATATTGTTGCTTGTAGTTGCCTTGTTGTAACTTGTGGGGACATATATGTCCAAGAATTCACGTGCCAATATGACAGAAATTCAAATATTCAATTATACAAATGTATGTTATTTCCCTTCCAATTAGTATTTATTATGCACAATATTCTCCTCTTAATTTTTACTTGTCTATTATTTTAAAAGTATACTTTTACTTTTATATATAAAAAAATAATTGATTTTTCTTCACGTATACACTATTTTTTTAAGATTAAATACTAAAACATTAATTAATATGAATATTTTAATAACTCATATAAATCATTATTACTTAAAAGGAACATTTAAAAGGACAAGTAAAAGTAAACAAAGAAAATATTAAATATAGCATTAATTGAAGAAAGAGATTTGCTCGCTTTGTTTTATTTTACTTGACTATTTTAATACTCTCTTTAAAAAAAGTATTTATCAGGAAATTATTTACTAAATTGACTTTATTAATAAAAATAATATTGAAAGAAAATGATTTTAAAAAATTGCTAACATAGACCTCTAATAAGAAATTTTATTTTTTTAATATAAAAACCAAGTAAAATAAAACGATTCGGAGGGAAACTGGTATAAACGAATTATTATTAAAGTTATGGTGGAGGGTTGTACTCATGATTTATACATGTTACCTTTCCTTACTATAATATAATTGTTAGAAGTTTTAAAAGTTTTATATCTCTAAATATATATATACTTTATGTAGATTGAATAGGTCCTTATACCTCTTAATTAGGCACATTAATTATTATGTTATTAACTCCATTATTACGGAAATTGTAAATCTAAAAATTCATACTCCCTCCATTTTATATTAATTAAATTGTTGAGGTGTTTCACATCGTTTAAGAAAAGTAGATTAAGACATAAATTGAACATAGTTTTCCATTTTTAACTTATCAATTACTCCCTCTGTCCCTAATTACTTGTCCACTTTTCCTTTTACAGTTGTCCCTAATTACTTGTCCATTTTGATAAATCAAGAAGGACAATTTTTTTTAAACCTATTATACCCTCAATTAAATGACTAATTACTTTAAAAAATGTAGAACTTTTCATCCACTTCATAATTAATAGGGGTAAAATGGTAAACTCACTATGTCATTAATTGTTTTCTTAATATGTGTGTCAATTCAAAAGTAGACAAGTAATTAGGGACAGAGGGAGTATTGTCAAATTTATTGAAGTCATCACATTGAAAATCCAAATGAAGGGTAAAATAGGAAGAACACTCTAAAAGTAGCCTTGAAAACTGAACAATTAAGTTAATTTGAAAAATAAAAAATGCCTCAAAAATTCAATTAATATGGAATGGAGGGAGTAGTGTTTAATTAAATACTCCATCTTTCCAACAATACCTGTCCACTATTGACTTTGCACATGTCTTTAGAAACTATAAACAAAAGCATAATTTTACTATATCACCTTTTAAATATAATAAATATAATGTTTAGAAAACTGTAATAGAGAAATTACTATAATTAATTATAAGGGTAAATTAGGAACTATATAAAATTATCCATTAATTTCATAAAGTGAACAAATATTGTTGGACATTCCAAAATAATATAGTGGACAACTATTTTTGGAAAGGAATAGTTAGCCGAACATAAAAAGGTTTTAAGCTAAAACGTATGAGTTGGGAATTGGGATTGTTTAACTTAGGTCCTTGAGTTGCTTTGGTTTGAAAACAGTCAAACACTAAATTAAAAAAAATAAATAAAAAAACTTATTTAACCAGCTTTTATATTCACCCAAAACACAAATTAAAATTGATCAGTCCGGTCTGGTCCGCTTTTTTATATATAGATTCGATTTATTAATTTGTAAACACACAAAATTAATAAATAAATTAATGAAATATGCGTTATCGATATACTCATACTAAAGAGTAAAGAATATAATCTAGCTATGGTCTCAACTTATAAATTCAAGCTCAAATATTATAATGTAAGAGGAGAAAATTAATTTCAAGTCTATATCTTGAACCTAATTATACTATGATTTTCTTTAGATTTTCAGTTAAGCAACAATCTCAAATACAAAAGAGATTGCAGAGAAATATCACTTGAACCATTTTTTTTTAGTGATAATAAGCACCAATATATAATTAGAGATAAAAATATAATTTTATTATTATTTTAATTTATCAAATTATCAATTTAATTATTACTAAAATCTAAAAATTGATAGTCCAATAAAAAAAATATAAAAATCGTTGAAATTTATCAACATAATAATTCGCTACAAATAATCAATAATACTTAAGAGACTATTTCCGTTTGGTGATGATATGAATCATGCAACTTACACGGTCAATTGGCCGACTATTTAATTTAGTACTTTTCCGTTTCAAAATAAGTAAATTATTAAGGTAATGCACACCCGTTAAGAAAAGAAATTAGGACATAAAATAAACACTTTTTCCACTTTTGCCCTTTTAGTATTTTCAAACTATTCTTGAAAATATAGATATTTTAAAGTAAAATCATAAATATGAGCAATTAACTCTCTTGTTTATATCACCTAGAAGACATATATGAGGGGCCAAAATGAAAAAAAAAATCCAAAAACTTTCT